TCTCAGCGAGCGCACTCCAACCCCATCTTCAAAAAAAAAAAAAAAAAATTCCTGGGATGTTTTTTGGCTCGTCTGGTTTTGCCGGACGGACCCCCCCCAGTTCGTCTGGCCCGGTCCGTCTGGGCCGGACGCCGACTTAACCCAGTGCAGGAGAAGACAAAAAAAAGGGACAGCCTCAAACAGAACACTGCACCGCTGACAGAAGAGGGAACATTGACGGACTTGAGAAGAAAGAAAGGCATAATTGAGGCCCAGGTAGCCTTACTCACAACGAAAAACAAGGAATTCACAGACAAGCATCAGTCTCTGCAGAACATAGCGGATGGCCAAATGACCGCAGTTGAAGCAGCAGCACGGGTGGGCGCAAGGAAAAATGAACATCTGCAAAACCGCATTCCTTGCAGGTGGAACATTGCCCACCAGGACTGGGAAATTGCAGTACTCAAGACAGGGGCTCTCATTACAATTACCAGCTAGGCGATCCAGGACGGCACACTCTCACCCCAATTTCAAGATGCTCTCACTCCAATGTTCACACTAGGAGGACAGCAGGATAATGTGGAAGAATTGAAGGACCCGGCAGGACAGCGACACAGGGTAGATCTGCGTCCAATCATGGTCCGGGTAAATGAGAAACTCGTCCTATCAGCCGACTTGGAGTGGGTTCCCTGGCAGGTAGTCGAATCTAGCCCCTACGGGCTCATAGGCCAGGGAGCAGCAGCAGAGAGAGCAGCCTTTGCAGCTGCGCTTGTGTCCAACTACAGACTATTCCTGGCAAATGGTGGCAGCTGGCACACAAAAATAAACGCTCTGGCTCATAAGAAGGAAGTCACCTACGTCCACAAATGAAACAACACAATGGGAGCAAAGGAGGTAGACATCCAAATCATTGACTAACCATGGACGTCTTGGATGGGACTCCGACACCCAGAACGCTTAATCCAATGTCGGACCTGCGTATAGTATCATGGAATGTTAATGGCATGGCGTCTATTCTCACCAACGAGCGGAAGTGGAACAATTTCACCCAAGCATTGGACTGGTATGGTACTAACCCGCCATATATCTTGTGCCTACAAGAGACGCATCTGGCAAGTAGTCAAAACCATCAAATAGTCCAACAGGAGATTCTTCGAAGACTAAGATGGATTAAGCAAGATTATTGGGCCTTGACCCCAAGGTCAGGTCCATCAGGTACTGCAGTGATTATTCATTCTAGATCGAGGGCATCCCAGATGATGCAGATAGTTTCGGTTCTTAGAGATAACAGAGAGGGTAGATGGGTCAAAGTAGATTTTGACGACAAACAAGAGCGCTTCCGTCTTCTTTCTTTGTATTGTCCTAGCTCTCAGCAACAGAGAGCTGAAATCATAGGATCTATTTCCCCACATTGTACCACCCCGTCTCACCTGATTATGGGAGGTGATTGGAATGCGACATTAGATCAGGGTCTAGATAGAATGTCAGGTGGGATCGGGATTGGTGTAGGGGATTGGGGAGATGGATGGGAACGGGATCGCAGTCGAGGGGTGGGGTAGTGCGAAGTGAGGGGGAGGGGGGCAATCGATCGAGGCGGGGAAAGAACGGTGCGTGGGGGGGGGGGGGGAGG